GATACATTAAAATCTGCAGAGACTGCCATGTCAATAAGAAAGAACATTCTGTTCTTCTGGTCTTTGATTACGCGTGTCTCGTTGATTAGAATTGATTCTTATGTCTGTGTGTATTGTAAATTCCCGTAAAATTGCTACAGATCCTATGTAACCGGGTCAGCGTGATATTCATACCAGTTTCTTTCAGTTTCTATCTCGTAAATGTTGTATAATTTCCAGTGCAATGATTGGCCCACTCCATAATGTCGGGTCTTATATTCAATGGTTGCTATAACACCATGCAAACTCATAAAAAATCTCAATTGTTTCTGGATACTTATCACATAATCCGCTTTTCGAGTTAACACAATTTTTAAATCTGTGTGCTTGGAAAATTCTAGTTAGCAAGGATTCGTCCCGTGCAGCAAGAATAAAATATTTGGTTTCAGCTTTGAACTATGCACTATATAGCCACTGATGAGAACGAGGTTTGTCTACATCAGTTTGAAATTATTATTATTATTATTGTTATTATTATTATTATTATTATTATTATTATTTCCTTTGATTTCTGGCGTTTACACATTTCTTTCCGGGTCCCGCCCAGGGACCTAAGGTTTGAAATGGCATCATGACACATTCCACTGACAAAAAAAAAAAAAAAAAAAAATTACATAGATAAAGCCCTTCGTAAAGTGTGGGCTCTACTTGTCAGAACAATTATTATTATTATTATTATTATTAAAAAATATGAAAAAAACTCCTCGGGAAGAGAAGTTTCCTCTGGCCTGAATTGATCTCGTAAATTAGTTTTGACAAAGCCACGTCGCCATCAATTTTTAAGCGACTCTTCGAAATTCAAAGGGTGACACCAAAATTTGGTCTATAGTGTACACACCCACATGCACATTCAGAGAGAGAGAGAGAGAGAGACATACTGTCACAAACACAAACATATATATATATATATATATATATATATATATATATATATCATTCACACACACACACACATATATATATATAAATACAAATATATATATATATATATATCACAGACACACATATATATAAATATCACACACACACACACACATATATATATATATATATATATATATATATATATATATATATATATATATATATATATATCCCATCTCTGTTGATGTATTATTTCTCTTTCTCTCTTTCTCCTGAATTCATTATTTACCCATCTCTTTGATGTGCCGCTTATTCGAAGCACCTCCTGAATTTTGCTACCATTGATTCCACGCAGCAAATATTTACTGCTGTACACCGAACTGAAAAAGCAAAAACAAATCCAGCCCTATTGTTTTTTGTTTGTTTGTTTTGGGTTTTTTTTTGTTTTGTTTTGTTTTCTTAAGTTTCCAAGTTTTGCTTGCTTTCACTTTTAATCTTCCATCATTTTTCGCATCCTTTTTATCTCAGAACAAAAGAACAGAGAAAAATGAGGGGAAATGACCCTCTACTTTCGGAGAAGAAAAAAAAACCGACATGAAAGGTCTGATATTATCATGGATGTTGAACAGCCTATCAGGCATACCACGACGCCAAAAATGTAACAAAGAAACCAAAGATTAATAAAAGTTCTCAAGAATAAGATAAATTTATGTGCTTATAATGATTTCCTAAGCGAAGCTTAGATACGGCACAAGGCCGAAAGTACGGAACACCTAGTGACTATCAAACCTACTACTCAGTAGTAATTGATATGGCGAGTCAAGCTTGCTATCAATTACATCACACAATAATGACCAAAGAAATTAAAGTAATTTGGTTGAGATAGTTGTATAATTTAAGTCATTTCATACAACAAATCGATTTTTTTACCATGCTAATAAAACAGATCTACATTAAAATATGCTCAATGATAGGATCTTTGAAGAAAAAACAAAGATCAGCTCGCATTATTAGATATATAATAGCCTTATTGATTATTGATCTTTTTTATCGAGATAATTAATTAGATAGATATAAGATCAGATATTTATAAATCTAACATGGCAGCATTTCTCCGTCTTGAGTTTTCTTTTGTCGATAGTTTTCTTTTATTAAAACCTTTATAATATCCATACAATCTGTCACGCAATGATGAACACTGACAATATTTTTTCTTCTTGATTTTCAATACCCGATATAAAGAATGACTTATGAAATAAACTATAAGAAATCGTTTGAAAGAAATGTTAAATATCCTGTTCAATCACAAATTCATTTTCCATTTCACTAGCTTTCTCGGTTTATTAATGTAACATGTGACTGAAATTATAAAGAACCTTTGAGGTGTAAAGAAGCTATGGATCTTAGTTTATTTTGAAATGATCGACGGATTTCTTTTGTCATGAAATAATTTAGAGATTTCATTTTCTTATGAAATAACCTAAACATTTCATTTTTTATGAAATCATCTACAATTTATTTACTTAGGAAATAATCTAAAAATGTTATTTTCTTATGAAATAATCTGGAGATTTTATTCCTTGTGAAATAATCTCATATTATTTTTTATATAGTCATCAAAAGATTGTATTTGCGAAATAAACTAAAAAAAAAATTTTTTATGAAAAAAATCTAGATTCCATTTTGGTATAGAAAATATACTTTTTAATTATTTACAGATGGTTTAAATAACGTGCAGATTTATTTTTGAAAGGTTATACTGATATTTACTTGTCTAATACATATATATATATATATATATATATATATATATATATATATATATATATATATATATATACAGAGGGAAGGGAGAGAGAGATAATTAATATAAATAAAAGGTTTCTCACTTAGCTGATTGATGTTACCTTCAGCATTCCGACTCCAAAGTTTCGTAAACAAACAATCCGGGAATTACTCAGTCCACTGTCCAGTGTATATCAGCAAATGACTGTTTATACTTCTCCATTATTCTTTTTTATATGTACTTTTCATAGGTATATTTATTTATTTATTTTGCATAGTGTATGTCTGCGTGTGTACGTTCGTGCGCGGGCGCCCATGCGCCAGTCTACGCGGATGTGCGTACGCATAGAATGTAGTGAATATTTGTCTTTTTCGTCTTTTTTATTACAGTCACTCCTTTAACTTTTCTCTATTTTTCTATTTTTCCTCTTTTCTTTCAATTGTTACCATTTGATGTCTGGTTATCTAGGCATGTTGCCCTTGTTTGTTTTTGAGTGTTCTAGTTTAATCTTTCTTTTATTTTACACATTTAATTTTAATGCTTAAATAATAATATATATATATTGAAGAAATTATAAGACAAAATGGACAAAGTTTATTTGTGACGCGTTAGGACTGAGTTTCTTGACGTTGTCATAACTGCACATGAGCATGAACGTGAGATGCTGGCAGTTTCAACATTTTTTACATAAATTTTTATATAATTCGTGTCTCTCGTTCATGTGCATGTGTAGTCATAACAACGTCAACAAACCCAGTCTGATGAAGCCCTAACGGATGAAATACTTCAAAGTCAAACCTTTTTCCATTTGGTCTTACAATTTCCCTAATATTGTTCTTGATATATAAAAATATATATCGTTATCCCATATATATATATATATATATATATATATATATATATACTTTAAAAATCAGGAGTTCAGTTGAATCCGCTATCTTGGTTTCATACATACGGAATACTCTGGCGATTTTTATCAATTGTGCTTCCAACGCTTTAATTTATTTAAAAAATAAACTAATTACCACTATATAAAAAACGCACGAATTTTTGGCGTGATAGAAAGGAAGAGGGGGAGGAGAAGATAAGTGGAAAAAGAAAGAGGAGGAGGAGGGGGAAGAAAAAACAAACGTATTATATATGTATCGGTGGAGGGTTAATTGAAATATACATTTTACTTTTTTTATCCAGCCTCTTATGTGCTTAAGAGTAATTTTTAATATGTATGCAAGAACTCAAGACTTCGGATTTCTGGTTCAAAAGGTTTTGGGGATTCAAGCGGGCCCAACTGATCTACTGATTTTTAAAATCAAAATTCTATGTTATTTTTTTTTTTTTATCTTATTTTTTCACCGGCGTATGGAGCACTGTTTAATATTACAGTTTCCTGGTCATATTCAACTCTGACCATTAACCTTTTTTATATATATATATATATATATATATATATATATATATATATATATATATATATATATAGTCCTCACCAGAATATATATATATATTAATAAATTTCTCATACAAAATCTGGAATTCATTGCAATCTTTGCTTACATCAGTTCCTATATTCTCAATTATTCACGAGACATCTTAATAGCACGTAGTTTTACGTGTAATTTATTCTTATAAGATCAGCATCAACGGAAAAGTTTACGAAGCAATCCAGAGGCCATTTTCGATATAAACTCTTGACCTAATTCCTTCTTTTCTTTGAAGACTACAAGACTGTCAAAGATTTGATACACTGAACACATCACAGTTATTCGTTTTACTGTGTTGTGGGGCTTTGGAATTTTAGACCCAAATGGCACCCAACAAATAGTGCAAAAAGCAGGCAAACGATGATAAATAAAAAGCTTCGGGGGAAGTCAGAAAACGGTCTTTATTTCTATAGATTTTGTACAATGCTGACTTCAGCCATCAATAAAGGCCACATAGTGTTTTTCAAGTTAGCGGACGAACATCATGATGGAAAAACCAATCAGCATGTTCCATCACACACGAGAAAAAGTCAATCTACTTCCTCGATTTCATCAAGGTTGGTCGGAACGCAAACGTTAAGCCAAAAAGATTGGGTAGATTGAATATTCAGTGTTTCGCACGAACGCCATAGTCTCGGTGGAAAATAAACAGCTTGGGTAAAGATTAGATTTCGGGCTTCTCTTGATAGCATTTCTTTTATCTTATTGTGAATAAGGTCGGAGAGGTTGGATGTAGCAGATCAGAAGAGAATTACGATGTAGAAAAAGAAGGAAAAAATGATAAAAATGATCTGCTTATTAAGAAAAGAAATCTATAGAAAAGATTATGATCAACATAAATAGAAAGAAAGAAAATTTGGAAGAAATATAAAGAAAAGAGAGCAGAAAAAAATGAGAAAGGTAAGAAAAGTAAGCAAAGAAAACCTTGGAATGGAAAAAATAGGAAGAAGGCAAAATTAAAGAAGAAAACAATTGGTAAAGAAAGAAATAGTAAACACAGAAAAAAAATGAAGAAGAAGAAGAATGAAAAAGATAAGAATGTAAACATAGAAAAATTGTTTTAGAAAGAAGGTTAAATTAAACGAGAATATTTTTGGAAAGAAAGAAAGAAAGAAACGTAGAAAACTTGAGGGAAAAGAAAGAAAGATTAAGAACAATTTGACAAGATAAGAATGTAAAAAGAAGAAAAACTTGGAATAGAAAGAAGGCAAAACTAAACAAGGATAATTTGGAAAAGAAAAGAAAGAAAGAAAGAAAGAAAGAAAGAAAAAAAATGAACAAAATTCAAGGAGGGGAAAAGAAAAATGTATAGAAAATAAAAGGAAAATAGTGTAAGAAGAAAATAAAATAAAAAAGTATACAAATAACGTTAAATAATAGCCATGTAAAGAAATAGATTTGATAAAAGTATCCCGAACCAACGACAAACTGACGGAAAAAAGAAAGACCTGCAAAAGTAGTGGGCAATAATGAATCCGAAAACTCCGCAAATAAAGCGAAATATCTGCGAAACAAAATGTAATCAAAAATAAATAAAAATAAAAAAATATGAGACGAACGTAGAGTAACATCCATCTTCTTTTATGCCATATCCTGTTTGTACGGAAAAACATTCCTCGTTATTTGTTAGAGGTTTTTGAAAATAAAGCTTTGAAAGTTCGATTCCTATGGACATTCAGATTACAAAAGAAGTGTTCTTTACAGCATGTTCTTTATTTCTTTTTCCCTAATGCGTGCGCACAGACACGCATGCGCATGAAATTTATAGCTGGGAATATGAGTGAGTATCAGTGAAAGTTCCTGACCATTCGCGTGTAAAATTGTCTCTTGTAATATAATGTAGACGAATTCCAAGTATGCTTGCCTGCTAGGGAAACTGAAAAACCCTCTGGGAAACATTTTTGATATTCCAGCACCTACGTAATCCACCTGTGGTTCATGTGAATATTTATATTTTAATATTTTTAATTAAAGGAAGAATACGTTTTCTTATTTGAAAAAATCAAACATTAATTTATATTCAAAATAAATAGTAATTTACATTAAAAATTTAAAATTTGAATCAACATATTTAAACAGATGCTGATGTCACTAAAACATCTCTTAGTGCTTTCCATTTCGAGTTTACATTGTGACCTTCATATCTTCTTTTGACATTGTCAATATATTCTTTCAAGTTCGGGTCGCTCAGGATTGTGTTGCATTGCAATGTGGGTACTGCGTTAAGCTTCTTCAATTTCCGCAGTTTCACTCTTAGTTCTTGGTTAGGTTTTGCAGGGAATCATTGCATTCCTGAATCTTTTGTTGATGGTTATACAATCAATTTGGTTTTTAATTTCTCCTCCTAGACTCCTTCATGTCCATAATCGTCTCAGATATTCTTGGAACCATGTGTTGTCTATTACCTGGTGTCGTGGAACATTGGATCCATTTTTCTCTACGTTCGTTGGAGGTTCCTAGTCCGAATCTTCCTGTTATATCCCCTACCTTCTCCTTGCATAATTTGGCGTTTAAGTCTGCCATGATAATGATGACTTCATGTGATTTGCAAAGAGCTTTGACACTGTCTAGCATAGAGGAGAAAGATTCAATTTCCTCTTCCTTACTTTTCGCTGTCGGTGCATACACTATTCTAATGGCCATGTTGAAAGGCTTTCCTTTTAGCTTGATTACCAGATTTCTTTTGGATAGTTGGTAGCATCCCAGAACGCATTTCTTAAATGTCTTATCTAGTATTAATCCTACTCCTTTGTCGTTTGGCCGCAGTTGTTCAATGTCCGAACGTTCTATGTCCCGAGAGTTATTTTGTTTGATGCGAGCAGTCGCAGGATAAGAGTTCGGTGACACCTGCCGCTCATGTCGTTCCTTTCCGGGCGAAGGATAGGTTCCGAGGAATTTTATCCACTTTATGCTGTTTATGCTAGCATTCGCCTGATGACGGTCAGGTGACACGTGTTGCGCATGTCTGCCTTACCGGGCGAGGAGTTAATTCCCATAGACTCAACCCTCTTCACGCTGTTCAGTTTCATCATGTCTGTGTTGTTAACCATGATATGTTTTAGGATTGATAGTGGAGTGGTTTCCTTCTCCACGGTGGTTTATTACTAACAAGCCGCCTTCCTAGGAAGAACTTGGAGTGGGGTAGTCGGTTTAGTGGCCGACATGTCGAATATTACCGTTAAGCTGCTGGAATAGAATAAAATGATTTTTTGAATGTGTGGGGGGGGGTGTTCGTGTGTATCAGCCAAGCACTAAACAACAGAGTTTCCTTCATAAAAGCAACATCAAATTACCAGACCAGAGAAAACTCTTTGTATCACAACATATCCACAAATGTAATCAAAGTAAATTTGAAATTATGTCAATATATCAAACAATTATTCTTACATAAAAATACAAGAAAAAATCTTCATAAACTAATTTAAATCAGCACTAATCAGATCATTATTATTATTATTAGTAGTAGTAGTAGTAGTTTTTGCTACAAATTCCCGCTTTCAATCTACCCAACCTCCTCTTGAAATAAATATGGCCGATGTTCGAAGTACGAATTTTACAAATAAAATAATTGAGAGAAATAAGAAGCAGTGAAAAATAACGTTGTCATATTTCTTTTGGAAATTATTAATTGTTTATATTGTTTTTTAAGCGTAATATAATTATTTGGACGTATGTAATGTTGGTCACCACTTGATTCACATATTAAATATCGCTCAGTTCATAATGTAACAGTGACGACCGTTAACGGTATGTCATTTACATCTAGCTATTTCAACTGTAAATTGATGAGTCCTCCGCCAATCTGTTCCTTGTAGGAGTAAGTGGTACAGTTTATGCCGACATGAGGGAAAGACTAGACTAACGGTTAAGATTGTAGTGGTCTGGAATGCATACTCTTGGGATTCTGTTCCAAAACCAACCGTTCTTGAGAAGACGCTATCCGAGTCAATTTTGCTCCTTTCTACATGGTTACTAGGCGTGGCGGGTTTAGCTGGGTGACTTAGATTTGGGGAACTAAGGAATGTAGCTCGTTTGAAGATTTTTCATGTGAATAGAAGTATAGTAGCTTGCAACTTTTCGCTTGAGGGAAAGGGGTTGTCAGGTGGAAAACAATTCATCACCCACACGGCCAACGTAGACGCTTTTGAACTTTATCAAGTTTGTAAAGTGAAGACCGGTCATCAGATATGACTGCGGTGTCCTATTTTCGGTCTGATCTGGCTCATGTAAAGTTAGAACATAGCAGGAGCTGATCATTTTTTGGCATCTTTAGCGACGGATCGTATATACGGGTTCCTCTTCATGTCTGTAGAGAGATTAGCTCCCAATAACTGTTTAAAACATGGTGGCCCCTTGAGAGAAAACACGTTCAATGTGATAGACTAAACTAATTTTTTCATAAATTGCTTATTCTCTGACGGATTCCTTGAAATTCACGTCAACTGAATCGAGGGTATGTGGTTTCGGGTTTTCTTCGAACGTTCGATGCGTTGATTCTGCTTTCTCACCTTATAGGTTGTGCGCTTATAAAACTGCCTGTAATCCGGTTGAAATATGTGTGTATATCAAGTACAAATGGGTTCATATCCGGTTTTTATTGGTGCGCCCGCTGACATATTTTAAACTCGATTCTGCACTTAGTGGTCACTTTCTGTGTCCTCCCTCATGACAGCTAGATCTTTTGAATTTCTGTGATGACACCGGATACAAAAATTAACGTTGTTATCTCTTTGGTATCACCATAGATCAATTCTATGCAGATCATAGGTTTCTGATGGGTGTTAAATTCGATTATGACCTCTGGTATTTCATGGTATGAATCGAATCCTACTCCATTACTTCTTTCAGAGACTAGTACAATCGTCCTCTGTTGGATACCTGTGAAATCCACAAAACCCACGTACTATAAATATTTTAAACCTTTTATTTTGCGCTAACAAAACGGGAATATATATGAATATATTGACACTCACGCATGTATTGGGTGTTCCAAAACTCGACTTATCATTGATATCCTTGTAAATTTTATATCAAATGGAATCATGTTTCTGTATATAACTATATATTATTAGGAATTTTTATTGCTCGAATTATGGAAGATGATGTCATACAAAATTTCCCAGGTTCCTCTTAACGTAGGTTTTCTGCCAATTTTCGGCGTCTTTTGGAACACCCTCAACATAGTTATCATCAGAAAGTTCACGGACCAGGATTTCCGAGCAGCTTTTTTTTAAAGTACAGGGCCAGTTGAGCCACTCTAGATAGAGGATTACGTTAAAGTGTGTTTTATATAGATAAAATGGAAATATAACGGTTAACTTGAACAGGTTAACATAGTGATCGGGGAAACTTGGAATCTGATACACAGGGCAGTGGTTTTCGGGAATAAGTTACTTCCCGCCAATGGAATACGGAGGGAATGTAAAGTAACACGACGGGACCTGACACTGAGGGTTAGACCCGGTGGGTTCAAGGAATGTAGCTCGTCCGAGCACTTTCCATGAAAGTAGCGATAGAGTAGTGAGAGGCTTCCAATCCCGCCTGTGAGAGAGAGGTTGCAATGTGAAAATAATTCTTCTCCAACAAGGAGTCGGAAAAATAACTTAATAAATATTCCAATTATGTGATAAAGCAGTTAGATTGTATGACATTTGCCTTTAATTGGTGAATACACAATAGTTTCACATAATTTCTGCTACTGAACTCTCATTAAGTTGAACCGACACTCGATCGGCCTTGAAACGTTCGACGTAAGTAGTATTCGCTAAAAGTCGGACAAATCATTAAGAGGTTTTGGTTAGAAGATACGCTGATCTTCGTAAAACTTTGAAGAGCGTTACAAGCATTTGTCAGTCATTTTAATTATAGTAAATCTATTTCAACATAAGTTACAAAGTTATAAAATCGCATGCAATAATTGAACAAGTTTAGATAGCCTGAAGACTGACTCAGTAGGTTGAAAGTTATCATCCCGGACATTTCCGTTTGAAAGCACAATCACAGCAAGAAGAGTCAAGGAACTTTGCAATATTACATTGTATAAAGACGGAATAATCACAGGAAAAAGGAGTTGGTTTATTTACCTAGCAGCAATTGTCATGTTGTATCCTTCTAGAATGATATTGAAAGGGTAAAAGGAAAAGCTGAAAAGTATTGCCTCACTCAAAATCTTGTTAATATTTTCGAAAATTAACGATAATTGCTTTTCCCTTTGAATCTAGATATTCTTCATCTGCAATGTTATCAGTTCTCACGTGACATCTCGGCTTCAGTGATTCACCCACCGTCGTAAAGTAGTTGCCCTCTGTATTTTCCATAACAATTTTCATGGCAATTGTTCTGGTGAGTTTTCCTCTTTGGTACCTCGACTTTACGAACTTAAACGCAGTGCTAGATTGGCAGGTAGGTCTCATCATTTTACATTTCAAATGAAGAGTAGATGTAACCGTAAGTGCTCTGCTAACTCTTTATTCTCTCGTTTGTAGAACTCTCTTCCGGTCACTTGATTTCCAGTCAAATGGAAAGCTAGGTCTCGTCATTTTACAATTGAAATGGCTACATATAGCTGTAAGTTATATATTAACCTTTTCTTCTCTTGCACTTCCCATTTGTGGAACTCTCTTCTGGCCACTTGATTTCCAGTCAACTTTAATCATCAAAAAAAATAAATGCAATGTCAATCGTTATTTTTTGTCTGCTTAATTATTGTTGTTTTATTGTTCTTTCTTCTTCATAATATTTTTTTCTTTTTATCATATTCACTCATAATCAGTAACATCTTATGTATTAATGGATTTTTTGGCTTACT